ATATATATATATATATATATATATATATATATATATATATATATAGATGTATAATTTTTTTTAATAACTTTTTCCTTGCACTATAGTTCATTCCCCACACCACTCTTATATATTTTTCTCTTTTCTCATGATCGATCATCGTCATATTCGTGCGGGTCCAATACCTCTGTCTAAGGAGTGGTATCGCACCCCTTTTTTTGGTGATGATGTTGATCGATTTTTCGAGTACCTCCTTAGCTATGTGCCTGAGGNGGGTCCAATACCTCTGTCTAAGGAGTGGTATCGCACCCCTTTTTTTGGTGATGATGTTGATCGATTTTTCGAGTACCTCCTTAGCTATGTGCCTGAGGGAGAGGAGCTAGCCCATCCATTATTTCTAGATATCCCTGCGCATCTTTATAGGGTCCCTTGTATCGATCATAAGTTTGTGTTTTAAATGCCATTGGCGAGGGGAGATTACCCTTATTCTTTTATTGACTTTGAGACCTCATCTACTCCTTCTGTCGGCTGGCGAAAGTGGTTTTGACCACATTCTTGTAGATAAGCATTTTGTGAAACTTTGGAGTCTGTCGGTATTATTTATGTTGTAAAGTTATGCTGCAAGATTAGCGTCAACTGACGCAATTTCAGCCTATTTTCTTTGATTTCTTATTGGTGTTGTAGGACTCATACCTTCGTCACCGCTTGAGGTGAGTTTACCCCCCCCCCCACTTTGGAGGATGTCTTGGTACTGATGCGACTGCCCATTTTTGAAAATTTCATTTACCTCTCCAGAGATTCTACTCTTGTCGAGGCGGCCTATGTATCTTACTCATCTGAATGTTTTACCGATGACGCGAGGTTTCCTTCATCTTTCGGTGTTGGAGGTAGTGTCGATGGGCACAAGTGTACTTACACATCTTGGGTGAAGTTCTTTTTTAGGGACATCGAGCCTGCGAAGAGCAAGTGTTTCGAGCGTGTTGGCCAAGATGGCCCTGGATCCCAGAGTGAACATGTCTTAGTTACCTTTATCACAATGTGGTTGACGTCATACGTTACACTGGAGCCCCCCTCTGATGGTATTAGCACCAGAGTTTTTCCTCTGGCTGCTAGGTTGGCTTTGTGGCTGCACAATCCCTTTGGTTCCTCTATTTCTTGGGAACCTATATCTTCGTCTTGATGATCTGTAGAAGGTGACCTCAATTTCAATGGGGCGTTACGACATTAGTAGCTATGTCTCTACCTTCTTCTTGTAGCTCTTCTTACTTAAGCATTTCCCCAAATCCACCACTAAGGCCAAATGTCCTACTGATGGTAGTCCTTCTCCTTGGGGAGTACAATGGTCTGAATGCTCCATATCTAGGTCGGTGGGCCCCTTTTTTGATGACGAGTTACAATTCATCTTTCGCCCCTATGTGGTTCCTCATCCTATGGTCGAGTCGTCTT